ACGTAGATGTCGTGTTAGTAACGTAACGTAGTAGAAGTATAGTAAGTAGTTGTACTAGTAGGACGTCGAGTGTTGTCAGACACACCTCTCTTTAGTTATATATATATATATATATATATATATATATAAGACCGGTGAGAAGTGACTGTAGATAAGTGCAGACAGACAGACGGACAATTGAGTCAAGCGTGGTAGTAAAGTGCGTGAATCATTGTGAATTATAGCATGTGTTTAAGTTAAAGTGACTGTGGAAATTAAGTGTATTGCAAAGTTGTATTGAGAGGGGATAAACAACTTTTATTTAAGAAAGGACTTGTGTCACTGAAGTTTCATCGTAAATAAATTATATGGAAAATTAACAAACGAACAGAGACGTAACATTACCTTCTTATCAGAACAACCCACGTACATTGATTAGAACTAAAAATACAAATCTACTAATGAGTTTGGCTATTTAAATACATCTTCATGTATGTAGTTTTAAATGTTAACAGTATTTTCAGCTATAAATCAAATGTCTGAGATTCAGTATTGTATAAGCTATGTATTCTTGGAATGCATGTATAGCTCAAATATCTTTATACTGCATTCATGTACTATTTTTGAATAAACTATTTTATACAAACATAGATACTTACATATAGCTTTTTTATCTTTTTGCAACAGGAAGACATCACATTTTTGATTGAACCAATAACACCAATTTTGAAGCCAGATTATTTTCTGACAAGCTTTGATCAAGGTAGATAACCCTTTTTTTTTAATTATATTTACCAGACATTGAACAATTAAAGTTAGTCTATGTTAGTTTTGTATTTAAGTGAAATTATATTTAACTGGGGAAAAAAAAAAGCTGAAAAATTCACATAAAGCTCTGATTTGTATACTACAAAAAATTTAGTTCAGTCTGTCTGATAGAGAAAATTATTATTATTTTTTTTTTTAAGAACAGGATAACTTTTTTTTTGTACTATTAACCCTTCAAACCCATAATTAGTTGGGCAACACATTCTCCATGCACAATACTTACTCCCCTTGAGCACTTCATGTGTCCCAATATTTTTTTTTTGCAGCATTGCAGTGTTCATATGTGTTCTTTTTATTCAGAATTAAACTACTTGTTTTGCATTGTGCTTCATGCTTTTAACTTTCAGTTTAATTTGTATTTAATAAACAAAGTTTCTTGGATCTATGAATTTGCATATCTATGTTAACATTTGTAAAGGTCTAGACACTCCTCAACAAGAGCCATCTTCTACTGTTTCAGTGACATCTGGAGGCATTATTTTGATGTAACTACACATTGCATTGGTTTCTATCTTCTTCATCTTGGATTTAAAACTTCCAATCTTGTGCTTCTTTTTCTTTCTACTGAGCCTGCCTTGTCTTTTGACAATTTGACCATCCCTTCCCACCTTTTGCTTTCTTTCTTTCCAGTGAGGATCAAGTAAACCACACCTCTGTCTTTGCTGCTTTGATATTACAAGTATGTCATTGTTTTTCATACAACAGGTCAGTAATGTGCAAAAAAACATTAAAAAGGCAGGGGCTCACTGACAAAAAAAGGGCACTTTTCAAGCAGAGAAAGGGGAAAGGGGGTGAATATGGGGATTGTGGGTTGCTTCTGGTACACATAGTGGAAAGCCATAAAGAGCAAACGGATTCTTTTGTTCCCATTCAGTTGGCCTTACAAACACTGAAACTCCAAAACTAAAGAGTGAATGCTTGTATATTAACGCATAATAGCATATCACAATTATTTTTTACTGTAAAGACCTACAAGTCCCTGTGTGCCATTTATTTTAAAGCTGAAACATATATATATATATTTAACTCGTAGCAAGCAAGGTGTGGAATCAGGTGTCTTTTAGTAGTTGTGGACAACTTTTATAACAGAAAAAGTCTACCTTCCCATTTTAGGTTACATTGCTGCATGTTCCTCTAAATATCTTTTCCCTCTCATCCTCACCTGATACTTGTGTTCATACCAATCACTTTCTGTCTCAACTTCAGTCAATCCTCAGCTGCCATGTTCTTTCAGGCCACAATATTCTTATTCTGTGGCATATAGTCCAGATACTTCATGTTTTTTTAAGCTTCATTCCCTTGAGTCTCTTCTTCCAACATAAGGATCTTCTCCTTTGCCCTTAATCAGCTTACCTTTTGTATTTTTCTTGCTAAATTTCTTTGCTATTGGCCATATTTAACTTCTTTTTTCTGAGGCTTTATATCACAACTCTGACAGCTTTACTGGGAAAAATTACACCTACCTGTTCTCCACCTTAGCCTTGATTTCTTATTTCACAGTGTTCTAGTTAACGTAGTTTCTTTGTTTCTGGACCTTGCTTGGTTAGGTTACTTTTCTTTCTGGAGTTCAAGAAACTCAATTTAGTACCTTTACTTCAAAATGAGATTTTGGGGAATTCCTTACACTTTATTGTTCTCTTGCTATTCACAGCATCTCCCCTGTAATGGCTAGTCATTGCAATTCCTGGATATGACTTTTTTTTTTTTCGGAGGGATCTCTCAGCTCTGGTCCAGTGAGAACTCTATTCTCTCACTATGCACATCTGTGGACTCTCTTTGCAGAGGACCATTGGGTCACACAGTGGTTTCTCTGTCTTTACACTCCTAGACATGCCCATAGGCAACCCTTTTAATGAGCTCTAGCCAATCAGTGGAGTATGTCCAGAAATCCATTCTTTACTTTTGTCTCTCCCTCCATCTCTTTACACTGCCCTGGTGGCTCAATCAGTCCTACATGATCCTTGATTGAACATCCCCTTTTCCCAGACTTGCATCTGGCTTTGGATGCCTATTTGTTTAGGTAGGATGTAGTTCTGGACACATGTACCATTTTTGGCATCTCTCTGCATCAATGTCTTTGAGATGTTGGTAGTTCAACAAGCATGCCATAATCCTGTTTTATTTATCTAGACATCCTGTAATTGATTGATAACTTGATTGTTGTTTCTAACATCAACTGATGGTACTTGCTTTTGGGATGCCTGAACTTGGTGGCAGTGGGATGTTTTACCTAGACTGGATCTTTCCTACAGAGTGATCATTGCATCCTCTGGTGTTTCAGTGTATTTTTGTTTCTCACTTTAGGGTAACCTCTTATCAATGCATCTAAGACTCTCCTCAACACGAAGCTTCCACTTTTTGATCAGCAGTACTGGAATCTGCAGCTCTGGCTGTTGAGGCTCTGAGCAAGGATTGGTTCAGCCTTTTTCTATATGCCTATTTTCCTCTTTGACTTCTTCTCAGTGTGCTTTTTCTCATTACTCGTACTCTTTTCTTGTTCTTTTCATTGATCCCTTCGACCTGCTTAGTCTTGTTTTCCACTTCTTTGCCTCTTGGCATTACAGGACCTTACTGCACTACCACTTGTATTAGGTGAAGAGTATTCTCTGCTTGAAGTGGCTGAGGTCTCTTACTGTTTGATTCCACTAGGTTACCCTTCCTCTTAGTGGGAAACACACTTCCCTTTTTCCATTTTTGTTACAATATACTTGGAAAGGAGCTCATCTTTTTAACTTCTTTCTTTGTACTGGTCCTTCCACCATCTTCTCAATGTGGAATTATAGCTATTTGTTCTTTGGAAAGGTAAATAAAATTTCTGTAATCAACATTTTCTTTACCTGAAAATGTATTTCAGATAGATACTTTCATCTTAACAGAACTACCCACCCTACTTCCCCACTACTGGTTTATCCTTTTTTTTTGCATTATCAAAAATGATCCTTTAGTATACACAATATGCTAAAGGTGAGTACTACACTTGTAGGTTGTGCTACCCTACTTTTGGTGGAGGGTTATAATCAAACATTGATTTGCACCTTCGGCTGGCACAGTGCACATTATTATTTCTGGCAGTGTTGTGAGGTATTAGCCACCTGTTCTGTGGAGAAGTGACTATCTATATGAAACACATTTTCAGGGAAGGAAAATGCTAACTTTCGGGATGAAAGTGAAAACATAAATACAAATGAGAATTTGACTTTAATTCTTACTGTTAATCAACTTAAACTGAAATGGAAATATTCAGCTGTTTTTGAGAATATCTTTATAGTATAGAATGTTGAATAATATTGTTAATTATAAATATTAAATTTTAGTTATAAAAGCTGAACTTTATAATATATAACAATATCCAAGCCATCATTCCCGTACAAGTTTATCAAAACAGTTTACAGTGTTATTTTATAAGTAAGTGGTAAAAATAAATGCACAAATTTCTAAACTGTAAGGCAATAGATACCTGTGGTAATTATTATTGTCTGTTAATGATTACATAAAGATGACAACTAATTTAATTTTGCAATGATGTATTGGAATTATCACTAATCTGATCATCTTTATAATACATGAAACATTATTTAACAGCAAGAAAACTTGAAATTGTTTTTCAGCTGTGAGCTATATCAATGAGATTAACAGTCCTCTTCTGAAACTTGATCTAGTAAGTATGAATATCAACTAGATTTATAATTATTTGTGAATTTAAAATGAATATAATGAATTTGTTACGACAAAGTATGCGTAATTACCATGAAAATATCTACAATAATTGTTTAGCTTAATATGAACATGTTTCATGATTAACATGAATAAATTATTTTTAAGTTCTGCATATTTCATATTACTTAAATGATGTGCTTTTCAAATCAAACAAGTAATTATTTTTTAAATTATGAAAGAAAACACTAGCTATTTTATTCTTGCACATTTTTTTATGTTTTTGAGCAGTACAGCATAAAGAATGTGACAATTCACAAGTAGTTTGTACATATGTGTAACTGCCAAAAATTTGCTTGTTTTTAAGGATATTTTCCACTTGCAAATGATTACTGGTAACATAACCAACAACACCAAAGAGCTTTTGCAGTATGTAGGTGAGTCATAATTTAATTATGTACATAGGTATTTTTTGTTTTTCCTTTTCTTCTTAAATAGCGTTTTGTTTTTGTAGGTTAAAAAAAAATTAACTTTTCTTTATTAGTTTTGCTGTTACTTTAGGAAAAGGAAAAGTATCTGTAAATGTTGAGTTTTTCTTGTAGTAAGTGGATAAGGATGCCCTAAGTTGAAATGAGTTTAGTCCTGTAGTTGTAAAAATTTGAAAATGTTGTTTAAGTAGAATTGTTAAAGTATTATTTACTTTACAGCAGCCCAAGAGTCTGCAGGCTCACAATGCTAAAAAATTTGGAGTTTCAATACCTGTGTTGGGCAGAGCACAGGTTGCTTTGTGCTTAATCAACCAACCAAATCTACAGTTTAACATAATCATTTAATTATAATACGTATTAAATTGTGGGGTACTAGTAAAAATGTTTTCTGAATAAATTTAAATTTGCTTGCTGCAAACATAATTAATACAACAGACAGTAGTTTTAAAGTTAAAAAAAAATTTACTCATTAATAAAGTACATTTATGATGCTTAGCCATGTAATTAACAGAAAAATAATATAAATTACTTTAAATTAATCTGTTGAAATATTAAACGAAATAAGTGTATCTATAGGGCATGTCCAAGTTTCCCAGGTACCAAATCGAGATGAACCATCTGCATCTGGAGAGATAAATTATCAGTATGTCTTTAATTTGCTGGAAAAATTAGGATATGATGGGTGGATAGGGTTAGAATACACACCAAAAGGTGAGTTATTACATTTTTTTAAAGGTTTTAGAACTTTATTAGTCAATTTAGAAACGATTGAGGAGACGTATAGAAAAAGATAAAATAGCTAACACAAATGAAAATTATTTATGCAACTTTCTTCAATTTCAAAAAATAAAAATTGCAATTTACTTTTTAGATAAAAGTTGATTGCAACAGATTTCAATATTTTGCTCTCCATTGGCTGCAAAAATAAAAACCAAATACCTTTATTGAAAAGTGAACAATGTATGATCCATTTACATCAGACGTTTGTAATACATACTGTTCAATCAGTTAGCATTTATATTGTTACGCCTCCAGTCGTTACTTAATTTTCCATAAATTTGTTCCAACGAAACTTTAGCGACACAAGTCCTTTCTTAAATAAAACTGGTTTATT